CTAAGTATAAAAACATCCTAAAAGCTTTTTTTGATCGTAAAATAGACGGTTTTATATTAAAATCAAGAACACATACAAGATCATCTTCAAACAAATTTTACAAATCCAATCGTGAATCCTAGGAGTAGACATAGAATCAGTCACCTCATACAAATTAAAGCAATTTGACTCGCTAAACCTGAAATAGGCAAAATTAAGCCTAAAACGAACAGATTTGAAATTCTGCCTATCAAAATAGCTCCGAAAATCCAAACATTCAAACTAAATCGACTAAAACTAGCACTACTAAAGAGAAAATAATATTGCAATAAAATATTTCCGCAAAACTCTTCCCCATATGGAGGTGGTTCTGGAGGACGACGGGCTCTTGCAATATGTATGAATACAAACTCAACCGCCGTCGAAGCGACCGACCAAGGCTTCATTTAAAATCAACACCTATACAAAGTCTCATCTGCAATCCGTTCATCCACCAACGTTATCTCCTCCGACATAGTGGCAATCCCAAGTATCAGAACATTTAAAATCAGAATAATCTGCCGCTCCAACCCCATATTGATGGGGCGGCGAAATATCTCAACCCTACAAAGAGGGAGACGATCGCTAGGTTTTAACATCCTAAAATCTTTAATAATTTAATTAAGTTCATGCAAATTAGATAAAGAATAATAAGAACCGCAAAATTTATTTGACATCTAAAAGGATGACATATACTAGTACGTAGTATATACTCCCTCCGTCCCTGAAAATTGTTCCCTGTTTCCTTTTTGGGCCGTCCCAAAAAATTGTTCCCTTTTCCCCTTTTGGAAAGTTTTTTGTGACTACAATTCATTTACCTTTTTCTTACTCAACCACAACCATACATTTCCACTTTATTCCCACTTTCTTAAACTCCGTTCCAAGTCAATGCGGGAACAATTTTCCGGGACGGAGGGAGTACTAATGAGAAGGAGATAATATGCTTTACTCGGGTCGATCACGAGTAGATTTGGTTAGGCGGGCTTGATAGGATCTCCTGTCCGTTCAAGCTCGTTGGTCTTACGGGACGAAATTTTTGATAATTTTTTTAGCATATTTTTCATGAAGTGTAATGTTCCTTCTTAAAATTCAATCGGAAAAGTCAGCTAAATAAATTATTGAAAACATTTCACTTTATATATATAAAATTAAACATACTACCTCTGTTCCATTAGGAGGTTCCAGTTACGGTTTATGATGCTTGACTGACAATAAAACAATTTAATCCATGTTCACACTTTGATTTTTTTTAGTAAATAAAATTTGCATATTCAGAAACTACATTAAAATTACTACAAGGCCTGATAAAAAATGTAGATTTGATAAAAATTTGATATATAAAGCAAAATATTAAGAATGATTTAAGTTGACCATGCGAATAATGGAAGAGAACCTTTGAATGGGATGGAGGGAGTAGTATTTTTAACATTTTTATTGCTGTAATTATTTTAATTATATTACTCAGTACTAATTGATTGATTGATTTGCAATATATAGTTGAACATTCATAATACTATGAGAAGAAACAAAACAATGAGGATAGTTTTCTTTCCTTTCAAGAAAAGAAAGAAAGCAAAAAAAGAAAAGAAAAGAAAAGTACTGAGTTACTGACAGGCGTTGAGAAAACATTTCGAAATGATCAACTTATGGAGTCTGAACTCGATCGATTCAACAAGCTAATTGACATTTTATTTTCTATTTTAAATTATTGTGTCCATTTTTAATTAGTATCGAATACTCTTATACTCAGTATGCTTTTGTAATTCAATGAAAAAAACTGCAGTTTCTTGAAACATAGATCTTATTAGCTATTACTAATTTAAAGATCGTTTGGAAATAATTAACTTAATCGTTCAGACATTCTTTTTTGACAGTTTATCCTTTGTCATTCTGGTAATTAAACAATTTTTTGGGCATCAATCTAAAACACAAATATGAGCAGAAATATTAGCAAAAAAACTAGTTTTGAACCATTGTCCAAAACAATAACATACTCCCTCCGTCCCAAGTTTGTCAACTTGACTTTTCTTGATCAATGATAATCAATTATGATTAATGGTATTTTTTAATAAGAAATTATTTTGAATATGGAAACTATATTACAATGTTCCTATTTAAAAATATTTTCATAAAAATATAAAATTTATAAATTATATACAAATTTATAACTAAAACCATTGTTCAAAGTCTGTCATTATCGACTAAAAACAGTCAATATGACAAACTTTTTCGAATGAAAACTTGAAGAGCCTAGACTTCATTAAAAACTTGAAGAGCATGAGAAAATAATCTTTGATATTAAAAACTTGAAAAGAGGATAAGAAAGGTAATACGACCAATAGGGTTCAAGAGCCTAGACTTCATCTTCACGAAAAGAGTGTGCTTAGTGCTCTTTTCTGTGTCCTTAACTTAAGCCTCAAGTCCCTCAACTATGTCTCCTTTCATTATCAAAAATGACAAAGAGTGTTCTGCATTTCCCTTTGCATATACACGAGTGATCGATATCCCTTTGCATTTCATTTATAAAAACTCAATAAAGATATTACCTCAAAGTATATACTACTTCCGTTCCAGTAGACTTTGCATTCTTTGAATTAAGTGAAAAATAAGAATAATAAAAATTATATGATTAAAGTTTGTGCGTAGAAGTGAGAAATAAGCAAAACCATAAATGAGAGAGTGACAAAATTTTTTGGAACAATAAAAAAGGGAAAATTGACAAAGTCAGATGTGACGGAGAAAGTAATACACTTCACATGTACTTTGCGCATGCATCTTGCATACAAATACTTCAAACAAGCATATGTTTAAATACTTCGTATAACATACGCATATGATACTAGGTGTACTTAAATGAGAAAACTAAACAAATAAGACAGGAATAGAATGAGCACTCTTCACTTGTATTGATTTGTTAAAAAATTACTACTCCGTATAAAATATTAGATGTAAAATTACATCGAGCTATTTTTGTTCACCTAATTTGGTAACCCTTTTTGGGCATCAGTCATTTGCTTGCAATTCAAATGACACATGTAAGGTTATACTATGTTTCACCCTGACACCCCCTATCCTGGTTGTTTAAAAGATCAAAAATGATGTTTATACCCACTCTTATACCCACTTTTGTACCCATCTATGTTTGTGAAATGTTTTATTTTTGTCTGTGAATAAAAAAAAAACACTTCACAAACATGGTGGATATAAGACGAGTATAAGAGCAGATACATCAAGCATTGTTGTTAAAAGATAGGTTGGGCGGTGCCACCTTTCAAATTGAATAGTCAGCTGTAGCTGCTCACTGTGCAACTACAAAAAATGTACTACGTAGTTATATACTCCGTACTTATTCTTACTCTAAAATTTACCCCTTCATCCTGACTCTTTCTTTTTTGGTCTGTCCCATGAAATTACGTTAGAAAAATGAAAAGTCAGATCATGAAATTGAAATTAGATTTCAAAATTGGGATATGAAAAATTTAGAACAGACAATAGAGATCATTTTGACATTGTTTGAATGGAGAAAATTTGATCCGCTGAAAGTTGACATTGTTTGAAATCCAACTCTTCCAATACATTTCATTTTTGAGTGTTTTTGATCATAAATTATATATAAACATGAGATGCAAAATTTTCGATTAGGCTTAGAGCTTGAATGAGGTCATTGACGGTGGCAGTGTTGTAGTAAATGGCGGTGTTTTCATGATAAATGAATGTCTTGTAGTCACCTATGTCTTGTAGTAATTGAAATGCCAACGACGGTGACAGTGTACATAGGTGACTACAAGACACTCAATCTTGTAATGAATGCCAATCAAAACACTCAACGACCTTGTAGTTTTCATGATAAATGAATGTCTTGTAGTCACCTACGTCTTGTAGTAATTGAAATGCCAACGACGGTGGCAGTGTACATAGGTGTTATACAAGCATTATGATGAGTTGACAATGGTGGTGTTAAGGCGATGGTGATTGAGTGTGATTGTCGGGTAATGATTTTACCTGTATTATACTACTACCTATCAAATAAATGGGAAAATGCCGGAAATACGAGTAAAAAGTAAAACAACGTTAATTGTTTTACATACTTTTTTGTAAACATGTTTGTCGTGACTCCAGACAAAAAATAGTTCCTTCCCAGATGGGTATACTAGTGATTATAAAAAGATGTGTACAACAAAGAGGTTGATGGAAGCAAAATATGCGGAAGAAAACAAAACCCTATGATAGATACATCAGTGCAAAATATTTAGTAATATACGGGTATTTGTATTTTAGTTTACCTAGTACTTCATCCATCCCTTAAAACTTTGCCAAGTTTGACCGGCATGGAGATTAATAAAGTAAAAATTGTGTGATTAAGGTTTGTGCAGAAGAGAGAGAAGAGAATTAACTGAAACCACAAATTATTTATTTAAAAGGAAAAATGACAAAGTTAGTAGGACATCCAAAAAGGAAAGTTGACAAAATTTTAAGAGACGGAAGTAGTAATACTCCCATAAAAAGGTCAAAAATAAATGGACCTCAACACTCATTTAATGTATTTTTCCTATTTCTAAAGTAACAATTTTTTGCGTACAAAACAATTGTTTACACTTCACACACATTTGTACGTAATTGTCTGTACACACAATTACAGTACAACTATGAACTACCTTATGTACAGAGTCAACCAAGGGATACACAAATAATAGAAATTGCCCTAAAAGGATTAAAGACGTTTTGAAATTTCAAAATATGACTTTTATGTTTTTATTCTTTAAATATGAGTAATTATGTCAAGTTTGAAAAAAATGCCGTGCTTAAAGCCTACTAATGTCAAATTTGGTAGACATTTATTCCTACTTGGTAAACATAATTATTCAATACTTTTTACTCTACGAATAATTATGTAGTTTACGAATGGAATTTTTGATACTTGGGGTTAAACGGTTAACCTATGCTTCCGTGTTCTCAAAGTCAGTATAACTACTGGTTGGTTGGTAAAAATGCTCACACCCTCCTTGTTTCTACTTTCTCTCTCTCTCTCCTTCTCATCCTTTCGGCTTAATCAACAATCGTTTTGGAATCTCAATCTCCCCTCTTCAAACCTTCACCACATAACTACTCTTTAATTAATCTTCCATTTCCGACGCTTCGGCCTTCTTACCCCCTTTTGATCCGTATCATTTTCTCGGGAATATCGCATACTGCTTGTATCCTAATCATCGCCCAACATGCGCTCTATCGATCCTGTCTTCGTCGAATTTCGGAGAACTTTCAGGCTTCCAATATTCTTCTACTTCAATTAGAGCTGGGATTTTGGGTTTACAGTAAGCGGTCGGATTGGAGCTAGGGTTTTTAGCATTTTAGGTTGAAATGAGGATCGAAGAATTGGACGATAGCAGTGACAGTAAGTGTAGTGTTGAAAGTGACAGGAGTCTGATGATAGTACGGGTCGACGCAAAGAGAGCGCTGGTAGGAGCTGGAGCTAGGATCCTCTTTTACCCGACTTTGCTGTACAATGTGTTCCGAAACAAAATTCAGGCAGAGTTTCGATGGTGGGATCAGGTTGATGAGGTCTGTTTTCCAATCTTTTCCCAGTTAATTAATACAGCTTATTGAGTTTATTGGATCGAAGAGTTAGATAATTTAGCTTCTAAACAGCGAAAGTTTATTAAATTGGCCTTTGTTCCTTCTGGAATTGGGGTGCTAAATGGTCTATTTCTGAGACCAGTGCTTGTCTGGGACTGATTATTTTTGCTTTACTCATTGTTTGTGATCACATATTCGCAATTTCGCATTAGTTGAACTTTTGCTGTTACTTTATTTCCTTTTTGCATAAACTTATATGTGCATGTAATTGCTTAACTATGAAGAAACATGTTAGAGGTTTAAGTAAATAGAATAAATTAGGTTTCAAGTAATATTTTGTTGATGAAAAAGGATGCTAGGACTGCTTTAGTGGCTTTAGATTCATATTTATGGCCAGATGTCACATAGTAGGGATATATAGCTGATTGAGTGAGTTTTATGTACTTTTCTTTTGTGTATACAATGTGGTCCTAAGCTGCAACGATAAATGTGTATCTTTTGGTTGTTAACTTTCTTCTAAACAAGTTTTCCTAATGAATAATACACTTTATATTCTTTTTTTGCTGGTTAGTTCATTTTGCTAGGAGCAGTGCCATTTCCTAAGGATGTTCCACGCCTGAAGCAGCTTGGTGTTGGTGGTGTAATCACTCTGAATGAAGCCTATGAAACTTTGGTTCCAACATCTTTATATCATGTGAGTTTAATGTCTAATATCCTCTATAAAAATATGGTTGTCATATATTCATATTCCCTCTTTTCAACTCTTTCTCTAGAAAGAATTTAATGGCAAGTTTTGTTCCTAAGAGGTTAAGAACAATTTTAGATAACTTCTCTTTGATGTGCCTTCACATTTTGCTTCTGGAATATATTCTTTCCTTGGAACATACCCGAAAAGTTGTATGTGTAGCAAGTTTTAGGGTCTGTTTGAAAAACAAAGGGAGACTATAGGAGACAATTGGAAGAAAAGAAAATGTTGCGGAAACCAAGATAGACTAGAACTCAATAAATTTTGTTTAAATACACATTCAATTATAGTCTTATTATTTACTCACGTCTATTATATAAGTGTTAAGAAATCTAAATATATGTAAACTTAAATAGAAGACATTCAAATTTCATTTTCCTTGTCAAAGGTAAAACCAAACATAAGAGAATCAATATCCTTTACATCTTTTTCTTCAGATCCTTAGCCTTTTATCGCGTTCAAACATACCCTTTATATTGTCAGAAACTTTACATCTTTTCTACTTTTTAAATGTATTTAGGAACATGAGATTGAGCATCTCGTGATCCCAACTAGGGATTACCTCTTTGCCCCGTCACTTGGCGATATTAACCAAGCAGTGGACTTCATTCACAGTGAGTAAACATCTAATTTGAAACTATTTATATACCACTGTCAAGACCCTACTTTCTGTTGTTTGACTCTCTTTGTTGGTTACAGAGAATGCGTGTCGAGGGCGGACTACATATGTGCATTGCAAAGCAGGGAGAGGAAGGAGCACTACTATTGTGCTTTGCTATTTGGTGTTTGATCTTTTGCTATGGCTTACTATAGCTTGTTTATTTACTCTCAAACTCTTGGGACGGTTATTGGGGTTTTTTATGCTTCCATACTTTTCAGGTGGAGTATAAACACATGAGCCCTGCAGCAGCACTGGAATATGTCAGATCTATCAGACCTAGAGTACTTTTGGCTCCTACGCAGTGGAAGGTAACCACTTGAGTTGACCAGCTATTATTAACCCTGGCTCAGGCACTATACACATTCTTTAGCAGAAAGTAAACTGACCTTGTTTAAGTGTTTACCCCTTAGCGGTCAATTGGATTTGACCTACTGGTAATATTAACGATTTGTACAAAAATACTTGACTTGTAAGTTTTCATATAAAATTTTTACCCCTTAGTACATTGTACAGAAATTTGACCTACTGGACTTGACTTGTATACAAACAAATACAAAGTAAATAATATGTTTGCATTAATAAACTAAATGCATTTTCAGTTTTTTCATTTTACTTTTATAAACTAAATACATGGCCTGGTTTTATTACTATTACTACTACCTACTACTAAAATGCGGGGTTGTTTCTAGTATCTTATTCGCAAAATGCTTCCTGCCTATGGGAAAAAGATGTTCTTTTGTAGCTTCTGGCAGTTTGAACCAAACCAGCAAGGCTAAAGCATCTACCAAACACTCACTTTAGCATCTAGACAGAGTCAAAACAGTAAAGTCAGACTAAATGTTGTCAACTTTTGGTCAAAACCCTGTTTGCTAAACAAGACTGTCAATTATATTGACGAATGGACACAGTAGCCTCACGTAGAAGTTTTAATGACATTTGGTCTGCCATTCATGTGTGTGTGTGTTAAACAGGCTGTTCAAGAATTCAAGCATCGACGTGCAGCTTCAGCTGCATTTTGTCCTGTAGATGCGGTATTGATCACAAAAGCAGATCTTGAAGGGTATCATAGCTCACCTGACAATAAGCAACTTGCACTTGTGCCCAGAATGGCGCGCACACGGACACGTCCCATGATGGCAAAACTATCTTGCCTCTTCACAACACTGAAAGTTTCCGGAGTTTGTGGGCAGCCATTTACGCGGCGGCTCACTGAGGCTGGTGCCTGCTAGGCTTCTGCCTCTGAAGAGAGGGGGTATTCGATTAATAATAAGTAAGTTGGTACAGAAATCAGTGATATATCTCTCATATATTGCGCTCAAGAGTGAATTGATTGAAGATCCTTCCACGTTGTAATAAAAACGTAGTAGTTGCTGTAGCCTGTAAGTGATATTAATAATCAATTTATATATATGTGTGTGTATATGTGTTTGCTATTTGTTATAACACGCAAGTTTCAAGTTTGAAGGCAATGTGGTTTAAAATCACTATCTTGGTGGAATGTGTGAAGACATTGATCAAGCCTCAAGGTATTTTGCAGTCTGGATCTAGTTCCTGCAAATTTGGGCTTCATTATAAATTTTGAGATTATTTTCACGGAGCCACAGAGGGAGATTGGGAGAAGGCATCCGTTATCAGCCATTGGAGCATTGGAGGATTTGCTTGCAATTTTCAAGCAAACAACTTATTATTGGAGCATTGATTTTCTTTTTATGGTGCAATAATACCTCGTGTGACTCCATAAAGGAGTTAGATGAGTCTCTTTAAAAAATTTGGTACTAAAAAGGAACGTATATATACTGAATAATGATATTGATGTTCTATAACGACTGATTTTAATAATAAAACAATGAGATATTACCTGAAATAGATCTAAAAAAGTTTGAAAATTTCAAAATAGGACTTTAATGTTTTTATTTCCAAAATATGACTAATTATTGTCATGTTTTGGCAATACTAGACTTCAAACATGGTAGTATTTTCCAAACTTGATAGTAATTAGTCATATTTTGGCAATAAAAACATGACAGTCCTATTTTGGAATTTTCAAACTTTTTTAGTCTTATTTCAGGAACTTTTCCAGTTTCCGTTCACGGTTGATTTTTTCAAACTTTCACTTTATATTTCCAATTTTTGCTAAATTTATTTATTTATTGCAATTATATAAATTTTTAATATATATAATTTTATTTATTAAAAATAATAGGGCAGAATAAGGTGGCCGTCTCTTAGGGTTTTCCCTCTCTGGGGAAGGAGGATGATTGCAGATAGAGATGGCTGGCGTCGGTAAGCAGGGGACTGGCGATCAACTTGTCGCTGATGAGGAGAGCCGAGCAGTGCATGACTACAGGGTACGAACAACGTGGACAAACTGGTCGGTCTCCCCCAGTTAGGTTTCCTAGCTTTTCCACATCGCCTTTTTCGGCGAAGTGATGATGATGAAGAAGAGGCGGTCGACCAGAGGAAAACATCTTTAGTGCAACAACAATCGTTGCGAGGGTCCGACCTCTTCCAGAACCACCGCCAAGGGTTGATCGACGCGTTTTGGAGTTTGCTTATAATTTACCTTTTCTGCATTTTAATTTTCATGTTAAGACGTTTGTGTTTTGTTGTTATTTTATTTTATACTGTAAGACTCTTGCATTAGGTTTGGAGGATGAGAGGTCTACGGTAATTTTCGTTGGCTTTATATTTCCCATGTTAGGTCTACGAGTTATATTGCTTTATTAAAGGTGATTAACTCAGAGTCTCTCAGCCAAGGACGGATGGTTATATGTGATCTTTTTTTTCCACCCAATGCTATTATAATATCAATATAAGCATCCTTGGATAAAAAAATTTATTAAAAATAATACCATGTAATACGGAGTATTGTTGATAAAGATTAATTAAATTTATAACGAGTTAAAGTGTTAAACATCTTAAGCGTGATTGTAACCTTAGGGGTATGTTTGGTTCAAGGAATGTCAGATTACTATAGGAATGTTAGATTACTGGATATGTTAGATAGATAGGAATGTGATTAATGTATAACCCATTTGTGTTTGGTTATGATTAAGGGAATGTCACATTAAGTTGTTTGGTTGAATGATATCTTATATTGCATATTTGGTGAATTACTTGAATGCCCTTTAAATATTTGTCTCTTGACACATTAAACTTATCAATTATTTAATGAGTTTCATGCACAATATGGTAACGTAGAACTCAAGAACTTAGCATCACCCCCACCCAATACTTTACGGGGGAAACAACAACCGACGGTGGCGGAGATTCCGATTGATTATTATTTATTAGAAAATGTATTTCATGTTTTAATTATTTTTCTCAATTCTCAATTGTAGTTCATGTTTCAAATAAATATACTTTAAGTTTTTTATATGCAGCACTTCTTGAATTAATTTTTAAACATGAATTTTTTTTAAAAAAAAGTACCCGGCCCACTACCCGGGCGGGTAGACCGGCTTGAACCGGTACTGGGGCCGATCCCGGGCTTCATTCCCAAAAAGCCAAGCCCGGCCGGATCCGGCCAGGAACCGGACCGGGCCCGATCCACCCCCAGATATGTCGGTTAATGAAGCATGAGTTTTTTTGGAAGAAAATTAATAAGCCACCAGGAATCTTACAAAACCTAAGGCATTGATGGGTTTGGCATGCCTGGTAATGTGATCACCTTTTCCACTTTTGGGAATGTAACATTCCCAAAAGAAAAATCAAACCCGCGAACCAAACATAGGTATCTCACATTCGAGGCATGAGATTCCACCCTCTATAAGATATCACCTTGAACCGATACTCCCTAGGAGTTAGACTCAGGAAGTCATAAGTAAATTTTAGGCGGAGTATCTCAACAAACAGTACCAATCGCAAATTGAGCTTTTCAATCGTTCGACTGGATAAAAAAAATCAACATTTTACTATTTTAGCAACCTCCGGAGAGTTAGGGAGAAGATCACGAATTAGAGGCCGGAAGAAAGATGGGGATTCGATTCATATTAATGGTGAACAAGCAAGGGCAGACCAGGCTAGCTCAGTATTACGAATACCTCACAATAGAAGAAAGACGCGCTCTTGAGGGTGAAATTGTTCGTAAATGCCTCACCCGCAACGAGCAACAGGTCCTCTCTCCACGCAGCCCCCTACCCACCCTAGAGATTTACTCACTTCTAAATTGCCAATGATCAAGATAGATTTATTATTCCTATGATCTGTGTTTTTAGTTCGTCTGAAAAAGATATGATTTTTTTTGTTTTATTTCGGTGTGTGTACTTTTTAAAAATAGTTTATGGTGACCTTTAAACATTATTAGCATATCAAATGCTGGAAGTCCGTTGCTAGAGACCTGTACTTTGGAGCCTTTTGAATGAATTTTCATGTAATTAGTGTTCCAGAGCATGTACATTATTACAGGATTTGAGGTGGTTCTATAAGAGCTGTTACAGCACAGCAGTTCTTGTGATCAGGTAGAAATCCCATTTATAGTGTTTGTATGATGATTTAGGTTCACATATTGGTTAGGTTCATAGGATTGATCATGGAATGATAGAATTGCTGCCTTCCCTATCATTTGAGCTCATGAATGAGAGGGTTGTAAATTATGTAAGAATGAACAGGTCCCGAAAAGATTCATAGGATTGAGCTGATCATGGAATGATGGAATTGCTGTTCTCCCTATCATTTGAGCTTATTAATGAGAGGTTCATAAATGATGTAAGAATGAGTTGGTCCTCGAATGTTTTGTAATTGGAATGCAAAAGCTAGGTTTCAATTGTTTACATAGGAGCTATCATGCTGTTTTTGCATCTGACGATTAGTAAGACTATATAATTGCTCATCTCAAGCAAAAAGGAAAAACACGTAGTACAGTTTATGCTTTGGTGATCCTTAGAATGTGTGATCATAATATGGTAGTTAATTTTATACTTCAAAGATCCTTATAATGTGTGGTCATAATATGGTAGTTAATTAATGCTTCGGTTAATTGCTTTGCTAGGGTATGCAATTTTTTTAACCAATTGTTGGATAATGGATTGTTTCACGTTACCCCAAAATCTTTTGCTTGGATGTTACATAAATTGTTGGATAATATTTATGTTGAATCTACATTTACTGCTCGATTGATGGTGGTAGGAACTAGGAGGAGCTGTATTGATAACTGATAGGTTTTTTCCTGGATTATTCTGAATGCAGTGTTCATTTGTGGAGCACCGAAACTACAAAGTAGTGTACAGGAGATATGCATCACTGTTTTTCCTTGTTGGAGTTGACAATGAAGAAGTAAGTTTAGTTACACTGGCCATTGATGTCATGCTATGTTTGCTACTTTGCTTTATCTGTTATGGAATACTTCCACTGCCATAACATGTATTAAGTTGATAAATTAACCAAAACTTTTAATACTTTCCCTACAATGCCATTACTTACAAGACACCCTCTCATTTATGTTCCTATAGGGAAATAGTAAAGTAAATAGTACAAGAAGGGTAAATTGAGAAAAAATATCACAAATGGAAATATATAATTAACCAAGAAAAATTGCCAATGTGGACAGATAAATATGAACAGAGTTGAATTATTTAATCACCAACGAAATGAGCTTGAAGTTAGATTGTTAGAACCACAGTTGGCTTTCAATGGGCCTAATTTTGTTATTTGCATGCCATGTGCGTTGCAGAATGAGCTTGCCATTTTGGAGTTTATTCACCTGCTTGTGGAAACAATGGATCGCCATTTTGGCAATGTGGTGAGCTGGAAATGAATGATGTTTTTAAAATTGTACTCCCTCCATCCCATAAAATTCTTTCCACTTACTATTTTGGGATGTCCCAAGAAATTTTTCTCACTTTCTCAATCTTCGATGGAAGTCAAATTGAAAAGAATTTTATGGGACGAAGAGAGTATTATATTACCAGTAGACTGGATTCCTCTTTTCGAATAATTAACATCATTTTTGGACTTTATAGTGTGAGTTGGATATCATGTTCCATCTGGAGAAAACACACTTCATGCTGGAGGAGATGGTAATGAATGGGTGCATTGTTGAGACTAGCAAGTCCAACATTCTGTCTGCAATACAGCTCATGGAAAAAGCATCATAAGTTCAATTGCTTTGAACCTAATATCACTTGAGTTGTCATATTCAGAATGTTAAATCTTTTATTATCTTGCACAAGCTAATTACATACCTTCTCTGTCCCTTAATACAATACACCTTTGAATTACTTCTATGTAGTGCTTTTATTAAAGATCTTTGCAGTTCTTATGTGTACTCTATACGGATAAAACACTTCAATCATATTCAGAATGTTAAATCTTTTATTATTTTGTACAAGCTAATTACATACCTTCTCTGTCCCTTGATAAAATACACCTTTTAACAATTTAACTTCCAGTTTTTTATTTACTTCCTAAATGGATATAAACACTATCTTAAAGGCTGAGCACCAACTAATGTGAATGACAGTATGTTCAGATGGCAGCTGGACTTCCATCTTTCCTTGGATCACTCACAGCAGTGAGGATGCCGTGGAACGTTTGATCATTCAACACTTTCCCATATTCAGGTAGGTTTTGAACAACAAGTTGACACATAGCACCTCCATTTTGAGCCTGAAGCTGATGACCCCTTTCTTCCAAGAAACGCTTTCTCTCCCCCGAGAGCTCAATGTGATCACCGTCTATGATAGTCCAGTTTTCATACAACACCACATTTGGAATTAACTGCACATAACACAATCATCAATTGCAACTTGTAAACTTCCTTACATTTTTTCACTTTTAGTGCCATGATTATTTGATCATTTTACTTCTGGTTAGGGATGGACCAGTTCCAGTTCTGGACCAGCCGGTAACAAATCATTTGAAGCAAGGAATTAGATCTGGAATCAGGCATAACCAGTCCAATTCGTGGATGGTTCTTGGGCTGGTTCCAGACCAGTAGTAGCTAACAAATATACCAGACCGGTTGGTCATATTTTGGGAACTGTAATGGGGTTGGACCTATTCCGGGTACTGGTTTCAGTACAGAACCAGAAAACTGGTTCGGTCTGGTGAAAAAATATGACCAGTCTTAGAACTAGGACTAGGTCCATCCTTAGTTTTGGTCCCTGATTTTGAGCTTTCAACATCCCCACATATTGATTTTTTCCCACTTTTATTCTATGAGGATATTGGATGGGTAAGTTGTTCGAAATACAAAGTGGCAAAAAAATCTAGTGATCTACCAGAAGTTGATACATTCAAAGTCAGAGATAAAAAATGGAACCACCCTAGCAGTTTTGCGTAGGGGTGGACCGGGCCCGGTCCGGTTCCGGGTCGGGCCCGGGCGGGCTTGGAATTTTTAGGGTAAGACCCGGGACCCGCCCAGGAGTCTACTGGTACCCGCCCAGGAGTCGGGCCGGGTTCTTTTAATTTTTTTTAGGTTTTCTTATTTATTCCAACCCCCCACCCCCCAAACCCCGCCAAAACACCCAGCCCACCAACCATAGGCCCAAACCCAAAAAAAACAAAATAAATAAATAAAAAGACCCGGACTGGCCGGTCCCTATTTCCCCAGTCCTGGAACCGCCCCCAAAATCCCTCACGGGCCGGTCCTAGGCCCGGAACCAGTCCTGGTCAACCGGTCCGGTCCGGTCCCGCACAGTGGCGGTCTGGTCCGGTTCCTGGGCCAGTCCACCCGTAGTTTTGCGCCTGAAAAGGGAAATTTTCTAAAGTGCCTCAATTTATGAAACTAGAAACTGTGAAACCTTGTGATAAACTCTTGGACTCTGAACTGCTGCCAAGGGATCCATGCCCAAGACAAAATGATTTAGGAAAACTTGAGTTACTGCTGCTATTATGTTAATCCCACCAGAACCTCCAATCACACCAGCCAACTGATTATCCTGTTAACAAGAGCATAAAAAGGAACTAGCTAAATGGAATAGGTATAAAGTTATTAGTTAAATAACATTCGCAATTATTTGTTTTGGAAATAGTGATTAGCTGATAGCTAACTGTATAGCCATTTTGACCAACTCATTGCATTACCAAAAAGTTGTTTAGTAGGAATAAGCTTTTAAAGTAATAGCTTTTCCGAGAGAGGAAGCTATAAGCTCTTTCACCATGCTAGGCTACAGCATTTTGTAAATAGCTTTGCAAACCAAATAAGCTGTTTACCAAACTGCAAAGTGTTATTTAGCTTGTCAGACCTCTAACCAGTGGTGTAGGTAAGAAGTTACACCGGGCTGGCTGGTACAAAGAAATTTTCAAATTTTATTTATATAAGTTTTTACACTATAAATCGCAGTTTTTTTAAAATTTGGGTGGGCCAGGGCGCCTGCCTCTAACAGTATAAAAGAAGGTATAAGCTATCCAAAAAACAAAGCTGTTTGCTGATCATGCCCAATTTGTACCTTAAAAACAATGATGGGAGCCATTGAGGATAATGGTCTTTTGTTAGGACTAATGAAATTGGTGGGAGATGGTGGGAGCTTATCAGGGGATGCTTCTGTAGGTATTGAGAAATCTCCCATTTCGTTATTGAGCAGAATGCCGGTTGAAGGAGACATTACACCAGCTCCAAAATGATAGTTTACTGTGGTTGTCATTGACACTGCATTACGATCTGCATCTACAATGCATAAGTGGCTAGTTCCATGGTCCCCAAGTTGACTCCACCTGAAACATGAAAGATAAATCAAAGATGATCTCACAAGAGAAACTGTTGGGACCTCTAGGCAAGTGTTCTTTTGCTGAAATGACTGATTCTGCTTAATTTTCTGAAGAAAAGCATTTGGTAATATCCACTTCAGCCATAGAAGTCAACAACTGCTTATCCGGCTGATGAGCAAAATAAGGCTACGAAACGGAGAATTTACGTTTCACCTTAATATAAATTAACCTCGGTATGTAGTATTCAGATGGGAAAGTGGTGTTGTCATATATCTTCTGTCGAATTTCCTTTGCAAAAGAAGGGGAAAGCATGTCTGAAACAATGCTGCTTACGTCAACAAAATCGGGATCACCCAGGTTCATTCGTACCCCAAGCATGTGTTTCAATGCTTCAATCATGCGGTGAAGACCTAAAGGACCTTTTGCAGCATTAGAAGTTTGATAGCCTTCTAAGACTTTAAGAATCTGTAATTACCCAATGCATAGACCTTGCTAGATTAGTTAACAAATTAAATGGGTAAAATATATTCTTCATTTGAATTTGTTTTAGCAGTTCAAACCAGGGATTCGGTGAATCAATATTAATGACATTTTAATAAAACAAAACAAAATTAAAAGCACTATTTTGAAAATATGCTAATTGTATGTTTTTAGATTTTTATCTAATATTCTTAAAAAAACATTTTCGCCACAAAGTCACTTGATCCCCAATTTTAACATTGTTTCTTCACTTCATGGTAAGCATTATACTTTTTAAATAAATGGATCTAAATTCTTAAGAACTAATCTGATTGCCCTAATGGGACTACCTTTGTTAACCCCTACTGTAAAAAAGGAAAAGCTCACCAGGGAGAGACCGACAGTTCCAGATGATGGAGGTGGCATGCCAAAGATGGTATATCCCATAGCATTAACAACAACCGGGTCATGAACTTTCACCCTATACTCCTTTAAATCATCAATGGTCAATATCCCACCAGCCTTTTGTACATCTTCTACAAACTTTTCACCAATCAATCCACCATAGAAGGCCTCAGGTCCTTGTTCTGCAACTGCCTCTAGAGTGTTGCTAAGTTCTACATTGTGGCACACATCTCCCTCTTGCAACAATTTCCCGCTTGGTGCATATACTTGTTGTAGGCCAGGGTCCTTCATTATAAGGTCTTCTTTTTTAGCTATGTCGGTTGCTAGATACGGAGCAACAATAAAGCCATACCTAGCAAGTTTAATGGCTGGCTGGAATAAAGTACACCAAGGGAGACGCCCGTGTTTTAACCAAGCCACATGAAGGCCAGCTAGCTCACCTGGAACTCCCATGGAAAGTGCTCCCTCTTCTTTGGAATCACTATTGTTCTCATACATGTTCTGTTTGGTGCCAACAAAACCCAAACTAATGAATCAAGTAACATAGCGTCAATACCCACAGTCTAAAACAGTGGTGGAGCTATGAGGGACCGGGAGGCCTCGGCCTACAAAGGTATTTCGTTTGTACACACACAAGTGCACAAATACTTTGTCTATAAAAAAAAGTCACATTAAGTATGAACATTTGGTACCTGTTAAATAAAGTTTTCAATCTTCGGCCCTCCTAATATAATTTTTTTTAACCTTTGACCCGTGTAATACAAAAGTTTTGGCTCGTAGATCTGAAATCACTTATTCCCGTTCATTAGTTAAGTTTGTACCCAGTGCTGAAACTCCTACACAATGGGGGGGGGGGGGGGTCTGGATTATGAGCATGGACCTATTTAGAGTTGTTCTTGCAATCTAAAAAGTTAATAATCTAATATGAGCATTAATCCAATGCCCTAAATGTTAATTTAAGCTTACTATCTTCCAATACCATATTAAGACTATAGCTTCCATCCTAAACAGCAACTTTGATTTGTATTTTGAAATGTTTCAATGTGAGATAGGTTAACAAGACCTTGAAAGCACAAGGGGAGAAGCTTCACCGATTGTGAGACCCATCATTTCATTAGTCAATATCGGAACTTGTACAATTTGAACTACTTTTCTTAACTTAGGCTCTGTTTGGTAGACATCATTGTCATGTTCTGCGTACTCATAGAATAAGCATAATAACCAAGTGTTGATCTATTTATACGGGTGAAGCAGGTGTCTCCAAACACTTTATGTTTCATTTTAGAAGGCTCAAATATTTTAATCAAATAAAAAATTTCAAACAGGCCTTTAGCCTCATCTTGGGGGGAGAAACAAATTTAATGCATAAGAGATAGAGTTGAACCTGTGAAGCAGCTAAAGGAGCAGTTTCCCTCATGTCAATTGCTTCTACCTGGAAAGGAGAAGAGGAACTGACAAGCATAAAACCACCACCCCCGACTCCGCTAGAGATCGGATTGACAACCCCTAGACAAAGAGCTGTTGCAACAGCCGCATCAACTGCATGACCTCCCATCCTAAGGATGGATACGCCTATTTCCGAGCAACGGCTATCATCAGCAGCCACAACTGCTCTCTCTGACTCTACAACATTAGAGTTTCTGGTTTGTAACCTTTCATTTGCCTTCGTACCCTTTCCGGAGACCCAAATGCCCGAGCGGCAATATCCAATAAGGCCTACACATGAACGCCCATAACTTAGAGAGATCTTCTAACCAGTTTTTCCTGACTTGGATCATGCTTACCTTCCTATATATATATAAGCACAC